CCAGCACCCACACACACACACACACACACACACACACACACACACACACACACACACACACACACAGGTGAGAGGTGGGGCAGTGATAAGTACTTGACTACATGTTTGATGAGAAAACTAAACTGAAATACTGGTAATTTTTCTGATTTCAACAACAGAAGAAAAACTTAAAGAATAAACAATGAACAACAGGTTGAAAGGTCCATGGAGAAAATCGACTGACAGAAAAAGGAACATTTTCAGGCTGCTACCTGAGGAATGGATGGCTTTGCTCCTCTTCTGCATCACTTCCATGAGAGCACCAACAATGCCTGTGGTTGGAGCTGGTGTCGGAGGGCCGGACTCTGGATGATCCGACACCTAGGAACAGACAAACAGAATACATAAAAAGAATTGCAACATTGTAGCATTGTAACACAATCCAGAGGAAAGTTGTGGTTCAGAGATTGCTCTTCAAATTATTGTTTTAAGATGAATGTTTTAACTTTAAATGAATCTTATGGCATTTAGACATTTATAATGGAAAACTGCTCATATGAAAAGGTAGATTAAAAAATGTATTGTCTTAAAATGCATCTTTTCTCATGGTTGGTAGTCTAGTAGGTTTCTTCACTGCCACCTTTTGCCAGTAGTAGCAGAAGCTTTTGGGGGTGAGGTGGAAAAACTCGGGATGAAAAGTGGAACATCAAGTAGTATTTTTGCTGAAATACCCATGTCCATTCACTACATGTCCTCTTGTTTTCTGAATAGTCTTCACAAAGGCACATTTGCAAAAGATATTTATGGAATTTGCTTTAAATGACAAACAACCCAAAACATAACAAACTCTCATTATACAAATTAAAAATCATGCTAAATTAGTTGAATGTTATGCCCACACTGCAGTACTTTATATACACTGTAGAAAACCTCATAATTTAATTATAACATAAGACCTAGGTTCAGTTTTACAAAATAGATTATGATTATGAAGTAGATAAAACAAATGGGGAAACATCAGATCTCTGAATACATCTTTTTCCACAAATGATCTTGATTACATTAATTTTTAAGTCTGACTTAAAGGCAGACTGAGTGACTGTATGAAATGCATAGATACGTTTACACTGCCATAAAAGATTTGTCTAAAAAGGGCTGAATATAGGAAAAGTTTAGTTTTGGAGTAGACAGTGGACAGGCTGATTTAAGCAGTAAACAACAAAAACAAAACATTCTACTGGTATTTTTGGTGGGCTTATCTGAGACTGTGGTTAGCTGACTAATAAGTAGTAAAATTTCCAAGTAGCTTATGAAGAATCTACCAGGAACTACAATGTGGGTTTTCACAAAAAAAAAAAAACCCAGAACGAAAGGAAGCAAAAAAAGGCTGTCTTCATATGTGCAAATAAAGCCTCAAGTATTTATTATGTATTATTGTAGTGATCGCAGTGATCAAAGGGACTGACTCACAGTCTTGAGCTGGATTCCCTGTCGGATCTGGTCCAGCAGGGCATCTCGTCCAGTACTGGAAGTTGGCACTCTGTTGTTTTGCTCCACCTTCTTCAGCTGGGTTCCTCCTCTAATCTGCTCCAACAGCACCGACTTCCCACTTGGACTTAGTGAATGAGGCGAGTCTCCACCCCCACCTACGCTATCTGGCTCTGGAGGAGGAGGTGGGCCAGGTGGGGGAGGAGGAGGGGGAGGTGGCAGTGCAGGAGTGCTGCTCACCACAGAATGCTGTGCCACTGGGAGAGGTGGAGGGGGTGGAGGTTGGGGAGTAACAGAGGCATGTAAAGGAAGGGGAGGAGGAGGGGGAGACTGGTGGTGGTGGTGGGATGCAGGAGGCGGCTGGTGACTTCCCCTGGTGGGTGGAGGTGGGGGAGGTGGGGCACCCAGAGTTCCCGGTCTGGAGGGAGGTGGTGGAGGCGGGGCTAAGGCCGGGGCCCTGGATGGAGGAGGGGGAGGAGGGGCTCCTCGGCCTCCTCTGGAAGGTGGAGGTGGGGGTGGAGCCAAGCTGTGGGGCGGCGGGGGAGGAGGCGGAGGGCCGCCTCGAGAAGGTGGTGGAGGGGGTGCTGTAGAAGTAGAACACAACAAGAAACATCCTACGTTTAACTCTTGTGCAGTTTTGCTCCACTCTGCTGCAGCACTGTGATCTGGGGAAACATCTGGATCTGGAGCTCAGAAAAGTAACTAAGCCCCAAAGTAACTACGTTCACACTGCAGGCGAAAGCGCCTTTCAAAGCCGATCTGGGTCACTTTTGTATGTGGTATAGAATCCGATACATATCTGATGTTTCAGAAAGCGACTGCTGTTTGAACGGTCATGTCGCATTAAATCCTACTTTTACGTCACTGACACAAGACAGACGCCAATTATCAGCGCCGGAGACATTGTGAACGCTTCCTGGCCATCCAGTGTAGATGTCAGTGAAACTGTTGGGTGGACAACGTTGGAGAAACGTGAACATTTTATTTGTACTGTATAATCTGCAGATTCTGACAGAAATCTGCAACTATCCTTTGAAGCGCCGCTCCTCTCTAAAACAGCAATAAGGATACATATGGCCTAATCATTAGGCCATATGTAAATAACAAAATAACTTAATAACTTAAAGCAAAATTGGGAAACGTAAAGTTCGAAACAAGTCTTTATATTAACGGCCATCAGTCAAACAATACCGTTTGGTCTGGGTCTAAACGGCGCGTTGTGTGTGACATCTTCTTTTGCGCATGCGGGCCGCTTTGAGGGTTCACACTGGAGCACGTTTGCGGTCACATTTTATTTGTAGTGTGAACAAGCAGACAAAAAAAAAATCGGATTTGATCAAAAAAAAAAATCGAATTTGATCAAAAAAATCGGAATTGAGCATTAAGACCTGCAGTCTGAACGTAGCCTAAGGGTCTAATGTGGGTCAGTTCTTACCACACTGCAACAATTACTTATGCTGCAGGCCCAGTCTGCTGCAGAGCAGGTTGTGTTTGACACAAGAGATAAATTTGTAAGAAATCACCATCTATCGACCAATCAGCTCACTGGAATTTTTTTTAGGAAGAACCTAAAAACCTCTAAATCCCTGGAAACTTTAGAGATCATCTGAAGTCTTTATCTTTCCCTGAAATGCACCAAGTAAAATGATACTTGAGAGCTTAGAGTCTTATCCCTGTCGATGTTTCTCAGTGGTATAATGCTGATTACACCAACTTTTCCTAAGTTAACTAGATTAAGTAACCACAGATTGTCTTACTAAATTCAAACCACCTTCATGTGACTGTAGATACCTGAAATATTTGAAGCCACATGAGTAAAATATATCATGTGCATGCTAAACTAACTTCATACTACAGGCTACTCTCTCAAACAAGGCATTTTATAAACTAACCAGTATAAGTCTGCAACACTAAAAAAAATAAAATTCTTATAAAATATTAAAGATAAATGAGGGAACGACTCTCATTATTAGAATATAACAGGTAATTAAAGAGAGGTTCAATTTACACCAACACATACGCTGGCACTGTCCTAAATTCAAACACCTCTTTTCTAACTAGTCCATGGTAACATGATTAAAACAGTCAGGACAGAAGAATCTGAGTACATTTCACAAAATAACAATTCAGACTCAGAAAAGCACTTGATCTGCTCATATTTGCTGTGTGATGTGAAAAAAGGAAGCAGGTGGCAGCTCAAGATAAAACCGTGAGAAGAACTGCAACATGTGAATTTATAAAAGTTCAAAAATATCAGATCTCTGACTTCATACACTGACCAGTGAGAATCAACTGGATTTTTATGAACATTTCACTTAAATCTGGCATTTATTCAGTTATTAATTATTTTTTTTAATGATGAAATATCCCCAAAACGATGAAATAGCTATGTGTTTTGGAAGTGGTAAACAACACAATAAAAAAAATAAGCATTTTATTCTAATTTAAAAAATGTAATTAATATACTGTATCATTTCTGTGTTCACAGTACATTTTTGAACAAAGACATTTCTATTTCTAGTTCAACAATTTCTATTTCTCTGTGAAAGACAAAAAATGGGAACTTAAAACTCTTTTTTCATACTGTTCAACAACTTGTAATTATCAGTTCAGTTCACAGGTAGTTTAGTGTGAGTGTGAGTGTGTGTGTGTGTGTGTGTGTGTGTGTGTGTGTGTGTGTGTGTGTGTGTGTG